GCCCTAGCCCGTTTTTCTTATGATTCCTGATGGATAATTGATGGATAGAGCAGCCTAGTTGATGGTTTCACAGAATGATCACACGACGGCCGCTCCTTCTCATTCTATATACATCAAAGCTCACCCCTCTAGTTTCTTATGAGAGGGCAGTACAATTTCGTCTTTTGGCAGTCTTGTATGCAAACTCAGACAGTGCATTACTGCTGAACAGAGGCTAAAGCATGGCCATCGTACTTTGAGCGTGTCCCTTTTCTCCTCATCTGGAATTTAGAATCTCTTAGACAATCTGGGGGAAAGATGGTAGAGTCGGTCTTCGTAGGAGCTCATGATTCTAAAACTATCACAATGTATTAAAAGAAAAGTAGCACTTGCAGAAACCAGGTCAGTATCCATACTGAGCGTTATGATATGTGAAGCGCTGCAATATGTGGCAGTATGTGCTGATGTCCTTTAATCTGCCATATTTGCATCAGACATTTTTAATGTAGGTCTCAAAATGTCCTTGTGGTCTGGATAAAAATGTGTAGACACTAAAACTTTCTACTGTAAGTCAGACTAATGAAACTCCTGCATAGTTAGCAGCTCCATACAAAAGGTCAGGGAACCCTTGGAGTAGGTTTCACTTTGAAATGGTGACATAATTCCCCGAAAAATGTGAATAAATAATTTTATGAAGACAATTAAATAAAATAATTCTTTTTTTTTTTTTTTTTAACAGACTTTAGATGAAGCATAACCAACATCCATGCAGGTCTGCATTTCCATCGAACTGATATAAGGTACAGTGTTTAGTCCATCCCTTCTTACATTTCTGCATGTTCATATCAACCTGTTTTTACCCTGTTCTTACCCTCTCATCACTTTATTTTATGACAATAGGCTTTAGTGTCAAAGTTGCATTCATCTTGGTGAATGTCTGTCCGATTGTTTACTATCACACTCGCTTTTACTTTCAGCAACTGCAACAGTTTGACACAAATGTTTAGATTTAATGTCTACTTGTCGCCTGTTGATGTTGAGTCTGCTGTTGCAGTCGACCTCTTATCTAGACTCTAAGTGAAGTTCGTTTCTTAGTTACTTTCTTTAATAAATAACTACAAATCATTACTGCAGTGATCAGTTTTGTCCATGATACCGTTGCAGAATTTCATATTTAATGTGCTACAGACAAGCAATTATAAAACAGCATTTGTGCAGGCAGCAGGTCACCTTGTGATTGGAGAACCCAACCTGGAACAGAAAAGTTTGTTTCACCTGAGAATGTAATTAAACACAAAAGCCAATATAATTGCAAGTCATTACAAATAAGAGTACAGACCTAATATTCATTGTTACACGTTTCTCACATTTATTTGTAAAGTAATCTTTTAAATGACTTTATAGCAGTTGGTAGCACTGTTGCCTTGCAGCAAGAAGGTTGCCGGTTCGCGTCCCGGTGGGAGTTTGCATGTTCTCCCCGTGCAGCGTGGGTTCTCTCCAGGTTCTGCGGCTTCCTCCCACACAGTCCAAAAAACATGTTGAGGTTAATTGGTGATTCTAAATTGTCCGTAGGTGTGAATGTGAGTGTGCTTGGTTGTCTGTCTCTAAGTGTAGCCCTGTGATAGACTGGTGACCTGTCCAGGGTGTCCCCTGCCTTTGCCCTAAGTCGGCTGGGATAGACTCCAGCCCCCCATGACCCTAGTGAGGATTAAGTGGTGTATAGATAATGGACGGATGGATGGAACTTTATAACCAATCTGACAACACTTTCAACTGACCATGAGATGATTTTGTATAAAACTGTCTCAAGTCATTTGAACTATGGCTGCAACTGTACGTCATGAGAACTGAGGGATAACAAAAATAGGTAATGCAGTTTATTACTTCAGTATAACAGAATACATTTGTCATATTAAGGCTAATGTTATCAGAACTACATAAGAAAATTGCAACATTACTGAACTGGAACAGATTTCTGGTTTTGTCGCTGCCCCATAAAAGTATTCCACAGACAGTCAAACTTCTGCTTTTTGTATCATTTAAGGTAGGCAAAAGCAGCAATGTGCTATTCATTTTTTAATTTCCAGAGTCTGCTATTTTTACTAAGCTCTTGGACAGAATGATAGTAAGAGGAGTTATCTTGGAAATACCACAGAATGCAAACACGCCCCTCCTATCCCCTCAGAGAATCACACACAAATGAGGAGAAGAAATGAAAGGTAGTGAGAACTGTGAGTGGTATAGAGCATCAAGGGATAATTATGGTTGATTACTCCTTTCTGGATGTGAAGTCTGCATTCAAAGAAAGTGACTAACCATGGGCTGTGTGAACGTTGAAACATTTACAAGGCAGACGGCTGGGCACATGGGATAGCTTTGAAATATACATAGAAGATGCTGTTTACGACAGGTATGGATATGAAAGCAACTTTGAAATTATGAAAGGAATGTCTCTTTGAAATTACTGCGTGAGTTGGTTTAAAGTTTATGTCCCCTGGGTTTGATATCTGCTCCTTAACAGCAGGAGTCAGTGACTTGAAGACTGCCTTTGCAAAAAAATCAAATAAAATCTGGAGTCCATAAGTTTTTTTTATTTTCAATATTCACTTCCAGATATGACAAGTGCACTAACAGTTCATATGTACAGTAGGAGGACAGAATATCACCAAAACCTGGTAAATACTGTATAAGTGTGATTCAAAACAGCATCTTTATGAACCTATAATGTCACGTTATTGTTGACTCAACTCTGGTATTTTTAGAGATTGGTGGTGTTGGAGCAGAGTTCATTATCCTGTAGGCAGCATGTCTAAGCCATAATACATGCAGGGTTATTTCTACATTTTATGTTTTGTCATTAAATCCTATAAAAAGACCAAAACCAGCACTCAGTGGGTCTGAATCAGCATTGTTGTCAAAACCTTATATCCATTATCTCCTGTGAAATACAGATTCATTGTTGTCCAAAACTAATGGCGACACACCAGTGAATATTTGTTGCACTGGGTGACATATCGCCTTATTATTAAAAAGCAGACCACTACAGTTAATTTTTGGTCAATTCTTTATCTCCTGTTGCTCACAAATATAATGAGTGTTAATCTGTGGCTGGAAACTGTTTAAGCCTGTCTGAGTCATGTTTGCCAAAAAAAAACTTTGGTTGTCAGCCATTTTGGAAATAATTTACCCATTGAAATCCAAATTATATAGACCTATTTGTTGTCCGTTTTTAAGGATTTTTGTCTTTAGTAACATTTAAGTGTTTTGTGCTTCAGTACAATGGACAGGTTAATGTCAGAACTTACCAAGAGATGATCTAACACATTGTTGGTGTCAAAAATATATAATAATACCTGCATTATCCTTTATTAAGAGCAGAAAACGTTGTATGATCTAATATATTGAAAAATATTAAATAACTCTGAAATATGTCATGATTTCCAGCAATTTCACCAGGATTAGGAGAAGCAGGTTCTTTTCCAGGAGTCACATCTGGGAGGGAATCTTGCGGAAAAGTGTGAGGTGTCTGGTCCTGAAGAAGAAACACAGGGACACGTCACCTGCAAGGTGTGTAGGACATCAGGTAAAGGTCAAGTCTTTGCATGATGAGGAGGAAAGGCCAGTCTGACCTAATCCTGAGTGATGATCATCAGACTTTTGTGCCATTAATCAACTGGGGAAAAAATTACTTAAATACATAAAATCTCTGAAGGTATAAAACATTCTTTTACTATATATTCTTTCATTTGGGTTTGGCACACTGATTTGGGGACCAGCAAATGTTTTTAAAGTTCATAAAAGTTGGTGAAAAAGAACAGAAAAAATAAAATTTAGCACGTTTTAATTCTTTTGTCCAGATGTATAAACTAAGCTAATGGTTTAGGGTGTACATTTGTGTCCTTTGTCAGTGTGAACCTTGTCAGTTTAACATGATGCAGTGAATTGGGTTTTCAGATGAATGCATTTTATTCCTAAACATTAAATAGAATGACTACACTGTGATCACAAATTATATGTCCGTTTTTCTAGGAACCTTTCATTTCTCTCTTTCTACACCTGAGCTGATGCAGCAAAACAAGGCCACGTGGGACTGACCAATCAGAGCGGGAGGAGAGCCCCGCAGTGTGGGAGAGGGGCGTGGTGAGTGGTGCGGACAGAAGTCTGATTGGCTGGTTCAACCTCACTCAACTCTGTTGCGCAGCACAGTGCGCGGTCCTGCTGTCTCATGTCTCAGTGTACCTGAACATTTCTTCTTGAGTTTTAAAAAGCAGCCTTTGCATGTCACAGATACAGACAGGAGGAGAGAGGAGGAAGTAGAAAAGGTAAAGAGAAATCCTGTGGCAGCCGCCCAGTAAAAGGCTGCTGAGAGACAAAAAACGGGTTCCACTTACTGCCTTGCGTTCACCGACTTTAACTTTAAACCTCAAACTCACGGTTGAAAAGAAAGACACCATTGTTGTGAGTGTGAGCTGAAATATTTGTATAGGCCTGTCATTAAAAACGTTCAGTTCGCACGCTCAGACGCTCCTCCGTACACGTATATCTGCGTGCGCCAAGCGCGCAATTACGCACGCCCTCCCCTCCCTCTATCCCTTTACCATTCACTCTCTCTCCACACGCACACAACACACACGCTCTCACTCTTTGTGGGAGAAAGTAAAGAAGGGGAGAGGGAAAGAGAGAGAAGGGAGAGAGAGCGTGATTCCAGGTCTCTCTCTGCTGCTCTCTCCACTTTGGGTACTCGTACCCAGTCTGACTCAATGGGGCTTTAGCACTAAGGGGTTAAACGTTAAAATAAAAGATATTTATTCACCCCAAACCCCTTATAGTGTTTAGGTTTGGTGTATTGACAGAGACATAGGTAACTCATCAAGGAAAGTCTCCGGGAGAGAGGTACAGACGTCTCCAGAGGCGTGCCTTTTTGTCTGTTGCCTCACAGAAAGTTCAGTCGGGTTCCTCTCGTCGGCTGGCTTTCTGTGAGAGGATAACTTCCACCATATCCTACGTTTACAGCTCAACCAGGCCGGCAAACTACTGCAACACTATGGATATTGGAGCTTGTCCCTTCAGAAAGAAACGGAGACCATGGCGCCTGGACTTCTCATCCTTCGCCTTGGTAACCGTGGCACTCGCTTTGTGCCAAACCACCGTGGTTCGGGCAGGTAAGACCATTTCTTTCTTTTCTTTTGTAACATTTATGATGTTTACTGTGCTTTTAAAACGCGTTATTTAGCTGTGTCAGGTGTTTTCTGTCTAAAATCTTCCCTTCCTGCTGTTGTCTTTTCTGTTTAAACGTGTGCAAAATATCTGTGCATCTCATCCATTGTGGGACACTTGCGCACCTGACATCCTTCTGTACATTTTCCTAGAAACATGCGGGCCCCTCAACAGTGGGCACCACGGTATCCACAGGTGTAAATCTAATTTGGTATCTGTTCCATGGAGACCTGTCTGTTTAGAAGTTTATTGTTTGTGCACTTTAGTCAAATTCTCGAAGCGTCCCAGGGTGACTTGTGTTTTCCTGCTGGTCCATAAAGGCCTTGTGTAGCTGGACTGTGCTACAGATCATTTGGTAGTTGTCACAGAAGTTATTTAGAAAATTTGTGAGTGATGAGGGGAAAGCAGAGTGTCCGATAATGTACTGAGGGAAAGGTTTAGGAGATTAGACAAGATTTTAGGCGCTGCGTCTGTAAATATCCATCTGCTGATTTTGTTTTGTATCAATGACTATTTAAAGGTTTTTTTTCTCTCATTTGGAAATTAAAATTTGGTCAACTTCAACATCATCCGTCCGATAATGGATGTTACGCACAGAGAATAGGTGTTAAAGAGGCCTAGTGTTTTGATGCTGGCACATATAAATTACTTCTTTTCCAATAAAAGATTTCGTCGTATGTACATTATTTCCTTCGCTATTATCCTTTCTGAGCGTGCATGCAGCCCGCTGACAGGAGTCATCTCACCAAATGTTGCTGTTGCCCCCTTTGATTAATTTCTTCATACATCCAGGGTTTTTTTTTTGTCATTTTTTGTCATTTTTCAACAGTTTGTGTGCACCTGACTTTTTCATTTTACCTTTCAAGTAATTCATTTCATTATTGATTATTATTCCGATGAGTTTTGACGGGATGGTGCTCCTTTTACGCACGTCCGCACCTCTCCTCATCCGGAGGGGGCCATGGGGTAGGACGGTGCAGAGACTTGCTCAGTCGCCTGTGAGGAAGTTTGTTGCCTAAACGTTCAGTTTGTAGTATTTGTAGCAGTACTTTATTTCTATTGCAGCTGAATGTTGGCCTGTGTGTGTACTTGGCCGTGGACACAGGCTGCCAGCTGGGACCGTGTGAGGTTGACTGCGTGTTTACCAGTTCAGCCTGTGCACCAGTCCATCCATCACTGCCTCTGGTTGTCCAAGGAGGAGGGATTTCTGAGGGATTTCAATAAGCCAGTGTAAACTTGATTTTGCGTTTTTCTCAGTGTACAACAACAGGCCGTGTTTGTTCAAATAGTAACGGAATAACATCACTAAGGAGCTGTTTAGAAACTATATTACAGTTTTTACAGCCAAGAAGATTTTTGGACCATCTTTTTGGTCGACCACTGACAGGACCGTTTCACTCGTAGGTTTTAGATCATGTCCTGCACTTTTATCAGTTTTATACCCCTTCCCTCCTCTCCTGCTCCACAGTTATAGATTAGTTCGCCTCAAAGGAATGATCTGTATGCGCTGCAGTTCCTCGACGCACCGCTAGTTGTCTGAAGTTATTTATAACACAGAGAATCCATTGATTCACCTGAATCCAGATCAGCTTCCATCTAACTGGACAATTTTGATGCGGAATGGCTCGCTACGGAAAGAAACGACAGATACAATACAGATAGAATAAACATCACTTCTAGCTGTGGTGTCAGTGTCTGAAAGACTGTGAGGATTAAATTAACCCTTCATGAACTTGTGATTTTTTTGTTTGTTTCACTGCAGTAGATCTTTTAGCTTTTTATTGTCGTGAAGTAAACGGAGATACATCAAGCACATTTTGAGCAGAAGCATCAAAGCAGGTTTAGTTTATAAAAAGTTGTTTGAGAAATGTATTTGCTTGAGAAGTTTTAGTGGACAGATGGATCAAAGGCTCTTTATTCTTCATTTGGATCGCTGCGGGGACAGTCGCTGCAGCTTACGGTCCAAGGGGGCTTTTGTAACATAAATTGCCCTCCTCGAGTGTATTCTTTGGCCCCGTTTCCAATTTCAGATTGCGAGAGGCGATTGCACCTTCCCGTCGTCTCCCGTGTGTATTTTGGAGGCGGAAGCCCGAGACATTTTTGCTTTTTATGAATAGGTTGTTATGCGGCGGAGCACCTCGGTCGCAGGGGTTTGGCAGTGAAAGCGTTTAGTGTCTCCGTGTCTATGTGCGCTTTGTACAGTTCTGTTTGTGTATATGCGTCTGTAGGCTATGGATGTTTTCTTCGCAGCTCGGGGTGTGGAAATGTTTGCCACATCTGAGTGAATGTGCTTCTGTGTGCAACACCCGGAACGCTGCGTTTCTCCTCCTAAAGGATGCATGTAGTGGTGCTGTTTCGTTTGCTTGTAGAAAAAAAAAAGGTTCTTTAATCTCCTGATCCTGTGATAATGTCCAAACACTCCTGTTACCTACAAGCGCGTGTCTGGACTGCAACGTCACTGTGCGCGCACACGGGATCATATGCGCACATTTGCCCAGAGCGCAGGGCGCGCTGCGTACTCGGTGCGTCTGAAGGCGCGCAGTGTGGTGCGGCAGCAGATGTGAGTGTAAATTATAACAGCGCCCCACCCAGGCAGTCAAAGACCGATTTAGAGTAAAGAGTGGTCAGAATCTCTCATATTTATTCTTTCTTCGCTGGGAGAATGAAGACTAGAAAAAAAAAGGAGGAGGGGTGGATGAGGCACAGTCACCCTGAGAGCAGCGGCCCAGAAAGGCATGAAAGCCGAGTTTTGTTCAAAGGAGGCGAAAATCAGAGGGCAATATTTTCTTGACATGGATGTTCCTCAACCTCATTTCAAAGCAGCGCGCTCCTCAAAGGGCAGTCTGTCTCGGTTTGGCTAAACAAAACATAACCCTGCTCCCACTCTCACCCTCTCTCTCACTGCTGCTGAATAGAGCCACTATATGTGGTGGCAGAGCAGCGTTTTGACAGCTCATTCCTGTGACTGTATGGAAGTGTGCGGCATTTCAGGCTTCTGTTGGCCACACGTGACTCAGTTTAGCAGTTTTAACCTTGTTCCCTTTATTTTCCTCTGCTTCGTCATCATTTTCCCATGAGACCCGGTGGCTCTAGTGATCCATACCCACCCACTCTCCATCTTTCCTTTTAATCATTGTGCTTGTTAGTGAGTTCAGCTTTATGCTGTTGACCAGTCAGATACCTTTCCTCATCCAAGGTTTGCATTGCATATATTTTTCAGGAGCCATCCTCCTATTGCTAAGTTAAAGAGTTCTTTTTATTTTTCAGTCTACGATTTTTATCAAGAGCAACATAACAAATGAGGTAAGAATAGGTAGCTGACTCTTAACTCCACCAGTCAACTGTGTTCTTTCCAAGTTTAGATTCAGTTTATGCAGACAGATCTTGTTTAGCACCAAACTTGCAGCTGGGTGAGAAGCTTTTTGCCCTGAGTTAGTCTTCCAGGTGGGTCCTTACTCTCATTTTGCCTTGCACCTCCTATACCAGGATTAACGGACCTCCACCACAGCTCAACCCGAAACTTAACCATGTAAAATATTCTCATTGGTGGGAACAGAATCTCAGAGAACATACTGCCTGGACACTTAATTTCCTTTTGTCTTAATGCCTTTTAGCATGTCATTAAAGTTCACCAGTCTACAGATACGAACAAAGTGGGACTCGAGCAGCTCACACAGTGTTTGGGTGACTTTACTTACACTAAAGTTGGGTTTGTGTAACTCTTTTGTGTTTTGTAGTTTGTTTAAAGCCTTTAAAAATCAAATCTTACTTTTCGGAGCCACTGCTCAGCCCTGTTGATCGTCCTAGTTTTCTCTTTGCCGAGGGAACTGTGACTCTATGTGAGATTCGTTCATAGCTGAGTGTCCTCAAGCACGGATGTAAAATCACATCGTTTGCATGGACAGATAAGGCCCAGACAGTGGTTGTGAGATTAAAGCACACAGAAGTCAAAGCAGAGATGCACTTAAACACTTCCCAGGCCTCAGTTCTAACCCATGACATCGCCTCAGACTGTGAACTTGAAAAGGCCTTTCTCAGACAAAACCACATCAGCATTGTCGACTTAAGGGAACAGTGAGTAGACGATAGTTGTTCCTTTTTCTTTGGTTTTATAGGTGATGATTTAGTGGTTTGTGTGTGCGGATAGTCGTTCCTCGGAGACATTCTGTTTTAGCAGAAGATGTACAACGACGGCAGGAGAGTGTGCCAACTTTATAATGACAGACTGTCTGTATAGGATGCTATTCCTAGTCACTGTTATTTTGCTGCTTCTAGGAAGTCACTGTAGGAGGGCGTGGAGACCAGCTGTGTGCGTTTACATGTAATGTTAATGCACAGTTCATCTCTTTTCCAGACATTAATACAGTCCATCCATTTGAAAATAGTTTTAAATGTTGGCTTTAACTTGTTGTGTTTTTAGAACTTCAGTGGAAAAAGTTTCTCTGCAAAACGAATGATCGCAGAAAAGCTCATGAAAGTATTTTGGGACTTAAAGCATCCCAATGCAGTAACTCTATTTATACAAGGAGGATACAATATTCCTTTATTACTTCTCCAAATCTGCTTGTTTTGATCGAGCTGTCGTTTGTACGGAAATCTATCCCAGCATGCATTTTGAGGAAGACGGAGAATCATCCTGTGGTGATAACACACATAAATGGGTTGAAATATCTATAAATGTTTTTTCTATCCATTCTAATTGAAACTTTATGCAAAAGTAATGCCAGGCTGGCTATTCACAGCGCCCCTTATTAACCTGCAGTTATGTGTACATCAATTTAACTACCAAACGCTTCAAGTATTGTTTTTGATGAGTTCTAGTCTTTAATATCTGTGTTGTTCAGATTTACACAATGTTCCCTACAGACATTTCATTGCATCTCTCACTGTCTGGATGCATTTAGGGTATAAACCCTAATTAGTTAAATATGTGTGAAATGGTTTA